TGACCGTGACCGTGACAGTGACCTTGACCGTGACCGTGACCGTGACCGTGAATGCGAAATGAGTTGGTTCAGTGGACGCCGTCACGCTTTACCTCGCCACTTCACCTCGACCTCGTCGGACAGAAGAGGCGACCGCTCGTCTTTCAGAAACTGCTTCACCGAGAAGACAACCACTCTTTCAGGGGCAGGCTATGATCACCGAGGCCTACCGAACAGATCAGGTGAGGCTAATTGTGCAGGAAACGCCACAGCTTCTTAGATTTTGACAGGCAGTCTGTTTAGCCTTCGACCTTCAGACGCCTGTCAACTACAGATTACTACTACTCGTGACCATAGAATGATGATGTTGAAGTACCTTTAATTGTGTTGGAAGAGGCGAGTGGAAAGCATTCGTAAGTTGGTCGCCGTAGAAAGTGAAAAGAGATTGCAGTAGAGCTGTGATTGTAGATTTGTGCCGGTCACCTTTCTTGCGTTTGCGTTTTTGGTGAATTCTTGTTAAGCATGCTGTCCTGCCCTGACGATGTCTGTCACATGACAGACGAAATCTCAGCAAGGATTCATCGGGATCGCAAGGTGGTGCGCCGGGGACCTATTCACCCAAATCTGCAACAATAACTCCAAGGCAACCCCCCTAAAACTTCCGGTGAGGCCAGCCTACGAAGCCCTTTACTCTCCTCGCCAAAAGAGATGAAAAGAACTCCACCATCAATCTATTAAGGGACTCTTCGAAACCCAGTTATTCTACATATCAAAAGAATTTAGGGAAGTGGGTTGACCTCGTTGTCGCAACTTGGTCTTGTTTTTAGGGCGACTCTGTAGAACGCATCTAGTCCGAAGTCGTCTGCCATAGTAGTTGTCATGATTCCCAGCATCTGACAGTTGACTTGATACATTCTCAAACATTTCGCCGGCATCGTAATCGGAATAATCAGTCAGTTTTGTCATTCTCCGTACCAAGCTACGAAATTACTTGGTGCGGAGAATGGCAAAACTGACTGATGATGCCGACTACGATGCCGGCGAAACGTTTGAGAATGTATCAAGTCCACTATCAGATGCTGAAAATCATGAAAACTACTATGGCAGACGACTTCGGACTAGATGCGTCCTACATAGTCGCCCTGACAACAAGACCAAGTTGCGACAACGAGTTCAACCCACTTCTATAACCATAACAGAGGTCACAACATCTTGGTCTTCATATATTCTATCAAAAATTAGTTTTAAAATAATTAGTAAATCTTAAATAAGATATATAGTCCACCATGTTCCTGTTAGACAATGCAGTATTGGGAGTTGAAAATTCCAGTAATCATATGACCAGGCCTTACTTTTACATTCAACTTGACTTAAGTTTCACCTTTTTACCTCAAATAGATATCATCAGCACTCCCAGCCGGAGTGGAATTATAAGCATGCAGCGTATAATTTAGACAATTAGCTTCTACGCCACAATGCCTCAGGCACGAGTGTGTCAACCTAGGAAAATACAAAGTTGAACAAAGACCAAGTTTCTTAAATATCACATTTGTAACGGCAAATTTGTGATTTTCTATTTCTGT